AGCATCCCTGGAGTTCACAGCAGCGAAGTCCTGAGGTTTCAGATCCTAAAGTTCTCTCCACAGCCACATATTCCTTTGATGTTTGGGTTATTGAACACATGATCACTGGATAATTTGTCTTTTACATGGTCCGTTTCTGTTCCTAACAGGGTTGTCTCTGCTTTCTTTTCAATGACCACTGTGCCACCATCTTGAACAACTTCTTCAACAGAATCTCCATCTTTGGATAGTCTAAAGTATAAGAAAGGCCATTGGGAGCCCCGATTCAAACACCAAATTTCAAACCTACACCCTTCAGGCTTCTCTTTAAGAAGCTGTGTAATCTTATGTACTGCTGACGGTGTCAGGGTGAGGGCGACCCAGGTGGCCTGTGGTTTCCTCTTGTTCACAGCCCAGACAGTGGCTTGGACTAAAGAAGCCAACATCCTCACGGTCCCTGAGCCTCCAGCCAGAGCTTCTACTTCTCAGCCTTATTCCTTGGCCCCAGCCACTTGCTCACCATCCTTGCTATTGAAGGAATAGTCTGTTTCTATTTCAGACTCCTTTTAAACAGTAGGGTTATCTGGCCACTCAAGGCCCTCCTTCCCTCAGCTGGTACTAAATAGCAGCCACTCTTTTAAAACTGAGCATGTACTTTCCTGTTCCCCAGTCTCTGCCTCGTATTTGCTGCTCATTGATAACATCTTGGTGTCGCCATAGTCATCTGAGTTATGACCCCTGGCATAGAATTTACTGCTTGTTTTTTCTTCAGTGTGAGATGGAAGTGATAGACAATTTCTATAAAATGTCACAAATATAATACCTCACGAACTATAAAATACGACCTGACTCATTCCCTCCAATTGGACAGAAAACTTTATTATAGTTTAGGAAAGTAGAGATATTGTATGACTAAATTATAAAATCTTGTTTGTGTGTGTAGAAATCACTGTAAGCTGCCAGCTGTTTGTGAGCTGGATGAGACATACATGTACTGTTTTAAAATGGATGGTTTTTAAGAGTAATTGTTTATGAATTTAAGCTTCTGTGGAACAAGGGCCTGAAGTTTGAAATGATTTCAAATGATAAAGAAATGGCCCCAGTAAGCGTTAGATTAAACAAGAAAGCTTCTAAAGCTGTTTTGCAAAAACATACTAACACAATTTCTGAACTTTATTTGTGAGTATATACATAGTTCTGATAAGATTGTGGTCAAAGATGACAATGCAGTAAGCAACTTCATATTTCCCTCTTCTTGTTGTTTTTACATATTTACCAAGAATAAGTTTTTAGAGCAAATGTCTAGATCAAAGAGGATGAATCTTTTTATTGTTTTAATGATTTTGGGTTCATTTTGCCAAATGATTCTCAAAAAAAAATAGGTGAATGATGTAGGTGAATGATTTCTGGCAAGATATGAAGGTGCCTGGTGTTTGACATCTCCCAGAAACTAGTTTTAATAACTATTATTTATTTTTGAAAAACCTACTGAATGCAATTTATTTCATAAAATGAATTAAAATTTAGATATACATAGGAGTTATGTTGTTTTCCTCCTTGTACTCATTGTTGTTAGCTCCTCATTTCATGCCAGCCTCCTTTGTCATGTCCCTTTGAACCTGTTGACCCAGTGGATGTCTCTATAGGTTTACCTCTCCTGGGTTTCACGGACAAAAAAAACCCAAAGACATACAAAATCAAAACAATACAAACAAATGCCTGACAAGAGGACAGAATTAAACAGAGAAAAGCCTCCTCAATGGAGAACAAAGCAGAAAATATTTCAAAAGATGGAGCAATATACATTGGGTCAGGAAAGACGACTATAGTAGATGAACATGATGAATCTGACCTGAACGGTTAAAACCTTGTCACTTGATCTCCCTGCTGATGCACGTTGGGCTTGACCTAGTTTTAATTTTTTCTCTCTCTTTCTGTGTGTGTGTGTGTTTAATATTGGAGTTTATCTCTGTTGTATTTCATCATTGTGGGTAGCCCTTTTGAATCTTTGTTATGTGTTTTCCTATGTTTTTCGGTATCTGAAACCCAGGATAGATGAACCTATAGAGACAACAACTAGAATAATGGCTCCTGGAGGGTACGGTGGAGGAGGTTGGGGGTGGGTAAGGGGGAGTTGATATCAAGTTCAAGAAGGAAGAAAATGTTTTGAAACTGATTGGTAGCAATTGTACAATACTGCTTGTTGTGATTGAACTATAGACTGGTGTGATGTCTGGATTAGCTCCGAATCAAATGGATTGGAGAAAAAGAAAAAGAATGTAGTTGAGAAAACTACGTGGGACAGTTTTACTCTGTGGTTAGGGTAGCTATGAGTTCGAAATCAACTCAGTGGCACCAAACAACAACAGCCATAACACAAATAAAAATATTAGAACCATACATACTTGGTGCACTGAGGTGAACTGGATGGAATTGAAGTCTCAAAATATAGTCTGATGAAGCTTTTCATATTAAAACAACAAAAAAAGAGGGAGATCACTGACAAGGTTTCACATTTTGCCCTAACTCCAACTGCAGTCATCTACCCTGCAATGTACTCTATCAGTTATCCTTTGCTGAACAACAAACTACCCCCTAAACTTAATGACTTAAACATCAAACATGTATTCTGTTGATCTGAATGGTTTCAGCTTATCTTGGCTGAGTTTGCTCATGTGTCAGGGGTCAGTTGATGGGTTGACTGGGACTGACCAATCTAGGAAGTCTCATCTGTGACAAGTAGGTTCTTCTTTGTGTGGCCTCTCAGCCTCCAGTTTGTTATCACAATGTAGGAGGGTTCCACGGGAGCATTAGCACTGTCACTCTGATTTTCTGCCACATGACTGAATCATGTTTACAAAAAGGGCCACCTCATATTCAGAGGCTAGGGGGAAATAGACTTTAGCTTATGATAAAAAAAAAGACTATCACAAAGTCACTTTACAAATAGTGTGGTTACAGGGAGAGGGAGAGAATCCAGGTCAGTTTTGCAGTTATTCTACCTATGAGTCAAAAGAATGTTGTCTTTCAAAGTTGTCATCTTTCAATGCTCTATATTCATGCCCATGATGTACGCACTCGTTTAAAAAAATGAGATCCCCTTTTGGATTTCCTTCTGCAGAGGGCAATAAGAAATTCAGAAACTGAAGAAGGCCAGTTTGTGCTTTACAGTCTTCCATGCTATCCAACCTTCAGGACTGTAAGCTATTTTTGATGATTTCTAAATATCATATCTCTGATAAGAGGATCTAGAAAGTGACTTCGATCAAGGCCATGTAAAGAATATCATCCAGGCTTTGAAATCAACCCAAGAGAAGCATTTTAAAATGTTGAAACAAAGGCAGTATCACTGGAACAGAGAGCCTGACAGCCTGATTACTTTGAAGTGGTCAGCTCTCTCTTTTTTTTGGTAATGATTTAATTTTTAAAAGATGTCTCTTTACATTAGATTGTATAAATAAATCCTTAACTGGCAGTGAATACACCCTAGGGTTCAGTATATCCTTATTGAATATACTTTTATATCTATCTTAAAGAAGCTTACTGTTGGCTCTTATGTATATTACAAAGTTCAACAAACTAATAGTACCCCACCCCTTTCATTTTGCTATTTATTTAATGTTTTTGGAGAAAGAAAACTTTCTTATTCTCATCTCATCCCAGTTCAGTGTTGCTATCATATACAATTTTGGGACCCTAATATTTGGATATTGCTTTTGATGACCTTTTAAAAAGTCTATGCAACCCATGTCTTCTGAAGGTAAGTTGACTAGGGTAATCTCTTAGGGGGATAGCTATTTAGGAATTCTGTACCTAAGAAGCTACCCAAGATGTAGTAGTACATTTCATGTTAGAATTCCCATCACCTGGCTGTACAATTTAGATGACATCAAGTACACTCTGAACAAAATCCAGTTTTAGGGGGGAAAACAATTCCTTTATGGGGAAATTATATTTTAAGTAAGCAAATAGGGAGAGAACTCCCTTATTCCCGGCTTTAGTGATGTTCTTCACTTTGCAACAGCTCAAGGGAGTATACTAATATGAAATGCCTATAAATCGTTTTGGAATTTTTCCCCTTTTGACCACTGCCACTGCCATTGAATCAATTCTGACCACAACAACCCTACATTCCAGAGTAGAACTGCCTTTGGGGGTTTCTAAGGCTTGAAATCTTTATGGGAATAGAAAGCTTCATCTTTCTCCCTCAGAGTGACTGGTGGGTTTTAACTGTTGACATTGTGGTTAGCAGAGCAACATGTAACCTACAACCCTACCTGGGCTCCTTTCAATTCTCTAGTAGAGAGCGAGTTCACTTTGTCATTCAGTCGAAGTTTCCTCCTCCTCACTTGATCTTAGAGTTCAGTTTAGTTAAAGTCAACAGACTGGCAGGCTAGGATTAGATATTTCCATCTACTAGACAAAAGATACCAAATCACATACATGAGTCAGAACACTCCGTTGAGTGCATGTTAATAAATGTGCTACATGTAGTTTACCCTGTGTCTGTACCACAGGTTTTGACAGGACTTTACCTGTGACAATAATTGCACACTTGGTTGATGATTTGGAATCTGAGTCTCAATATATGGAGAAGTCATTTCACTTCCTTGACTCTTTCTGACTTTCTCCAACCATAAAACATACTTGAAACTACATATGCATAGGCTGCTTCATGAAACAAGGGAGATAAAGTGCTATTGTTACTACAAATAATCATAGTCATCATGTATGTTTACTAAGAATGTCTTGAGCATCAGACACCATGCTCAGGATCACAGATGTACTCGCTCAATCTTTAATCTCTGTTTTACACTTGAGAAGCTAGAGGCCTTGTAGCTGGAAACTCTTTGGAAACTCTCAAACACATTAAACAAATGTAAGACCTGCTTCCAATTCCACTTATAGTATTCTTTTCCTCTATGAAGTTGGCCCAAGTCCAGCCATGCTAGCACCCTTGCACAATTCAAACTTGTGCCATGCTCCATTTATATCATTTCCCCCCTCTTTCACTCTCTAAGGAGTCCTGAGGCCACCATGACGGTCACCGTGGTGTATGATAACTCTGAGGCCACAGAACTCTGTGCAGCTCAGCACCTCTACCTCAAACCCATAGCAAAACTGATGATTAACGTATTGCTCCCGGAGAGTCCAGACCCCGTGAGGCCTTTCTCTAACTGGGAAGTTCTGGATCAGCTGAAGAGCCTGATTTGCCCTGACCAGTTCACCACAGTTCGCCTCTCCAAGAGTACCAAGGATTTCATTCGTTTTGAGGGTGAGGCGGAAACCCGAAGTCTGGTTCAGATCCTGAAGGCCAAGTTACATGGGAAGATCATCAAGCTGAATGGTTTGAAAACAGACTTAAAAGTTGTGGCTACTGATGCCCAGGGAGAGTGGGAGCATTTCCCCAAAGCCAAGCAGACCTCAATGAGTGACGGGACTGACAAGCAGGATCAGGATAAGAGCCTAGATTCCATATATTTTGAAGGCTTGCCCTGTAAGTGGTTTGCACCGAAAGGTTCCAGTGGGGAGAAGCCATGCAAAGAGATTCTGCGTGCTGTCTTTGAAAGCTTTGGGAAGATCAAGAATGTGGATATCCCTATGCTCGACCCCTACAGAGAAGTCATGACGGGTGGGAGCTTTGGGAATTTGAACTTTGGCTTGCAGACCTTCGAGGCCTTTATACAATACCAAGAGTCCACTGACTTTGTAAAAGCTATGGAGTCCCTCCGAGGAATGAAACTGATGCTAAAAGGAGATGATGGGAAAGCTCTGGCGTGTAACATTAAGGTAAGCAGAGACCTGAGTTTCTTTGATTTTTCCCTTGTTTGGGTAATCCTGGGTAAGAGCTAGAAGGAAACTTCTAGAATAAATTGCCTTCAACTGCCCTTATCCTCCACTAGCTTGGATCCCACTAGCTAATGTAGATTTAGGTTATAGTTAAGAAATAAATAAATGTTCACACAGAAAATAAGAATCCTGTCTTGAACACTATTCTGCTATCAGTCCACACTGCCAGTTGTGGCTTTAAATTGATAGTTGTTAAAATCTGGGACTCTGCCCCAACTTCTTCAGGACACGAAAGGATTCTTTGGGGGCCCTATGGAACCATCTCATGTGCTGGTTCTGTTGAACAAGTTCCTGAGAGAGAGGGGGAGACTCGCAGTTTCCCTTCTCTTGCCTCGTAGGATCACCATTCACATGTCTGTCTTTAGGGCCAGAGATCAGGAGATAACCCGGTGGCAATTGTTCTTTCTTCCTCACTCTGTGTCTACACCCAGGAAGAATGTGACTGTATGAGTGAGCTTGAGCTATTGCACAATGACAAGTACGGTCTTAATAGCCATCTGGAGCTCCTGTTTTATCTCTTTCAGAGATGTGGCTCTTGGTTATTGCGGCTTCTCTTTGGTTTCTTTATTTGGAACTTGTCTTGACAAGACATTAGACTCATGGGCTTCAGGTTTTGATACCTGGGGTGTGGGGCTGGCAGAGGGGGAACGATTTTGCTCTAAAGAGAGATTTTAAAAATTAAGAAGCACCCCCCACCAAAACACAAAACAAAACAAAACCAAAACCAAAAAAACTCTGGGGTTGAGGAACTTGTACTGCTAGGGAGCTCACCATTGTGAAACAACCAACCCACTGCCATTGAGTCAATTCCTACTCAAGGTGGCCCGATAGGACAGAGGAGAACTGCTTTGTGGGTTTCTGAGGTTGCAAATCTTTTATGGGAGTAGAAAGCCTCATCTTTCTCCTAAGGAACAATTTCAAACTGCCCACCTTCCAGGTAGCAGCCTAACATGTGATCCCTATACCACCAGGGCTCCTTCTAGACTCCTTGCGGTAATTTTGGCCTTCTGCAATCTTCTCCCAACCTATCTTTTGAACTTTCTCCTCCCATCCCTGAGGCTCCAGTTAAGTGAAATTACTAGTCTCCCAATGCTTCCCAAGTTTTCTCTTTTGTGTCTTTCTTTCCACTTGCTGCTTCCTCATCCAAGAGGAATCTCTGGAGTCACACTACTACTCCAATCTCCAGCCATTGAAATTCTGTCCATTATCCAAGGTCACCATCTTCATGAAAAGTGTCCCCTTCAGTTCTTCTCTGTATTCCCAATGAACTCTGTTACTAGTTATTCATTAACAAAGGGGCTCTGGTGATTATGCATCAGATTGCTAACAGTAAGGTCAGTGATTGGAACCCACCAGCTGCTCGGAGGGAGGCAGTTGAGGCAGTCTGCATTTATACAGATTTATAGCCTCAGATACCCCATGGGGCACTTCTACTCTGTCCTATAGGTCCCTATGAGTTGGAATCCACACTATGGCAGTGGATCGTGTGGGTGGGTCCTTTAGCACTTAAGAATATTTTACTATACTTTTTAATTAAAAGATCATTTTATTGGGGGATCTTACAGCTCTTATAACAATTGTATCGAGCATATTTGTACATAGGTTGCCATCATCATTTTCTAAACATTGACTTTCTATGGAGTCCTTAGTGTCAGCTCTTCTTTTTTCCCTCCCCCCACCCTCATGACCCCCTGATAAATTATAAATTATTATTATTTTCATCCTTTTAGCACTTTTCAAAAGAGTCGTGGTTGTGTAGTAGGCTATGAGTTGGGCTGATAACCACAGATCAGTAATTCAAAATGATTAGCTGCACCTGAGGAGAAAGAAGAGGCTTTCTGCTCCTGTAAAGGACTATAGCCTTGGCAACTCACAGGGGGCGTTCTCCCGTGTCCTATAGAATCGTTATGAGTCCGAATGCACTTGACGGCAGTGAGCTTGAGCACTTATCATATTGTCTACTATCTTTAAGCTATTGGTATATGTGGCTGAACTCCACTCTTGTATTATAAGTCCCTTGAGTGAAGGGAATAGGTTCATATTACCCACAGTCCCCAGCACCAAGTAAGTGTTGTACAAATATGGTTGAACTGACTGAACAGGATAACCAACACAGTTTATTGCCTTTGGAAAGTGGGCAGCATTACCAGCAACTTAGCCTGTGCCCCATGTCTGTTGAAGGGCCCAAAGCCAGTCAGAGAGAAGGGAAGAAATGGGCAAGCCCTAGTTATTCCACTTGTAAAATCTTTGCTCGAAACGTCTTGAGGACTTTGAGGAATCCTTTTCAGTCCCTCTGCGAATTCCACTTGACAATTGGCCAAGAGAGGGAGAGACATGCAATTTACTCCCTCTTCATTCCAAATTTTCAGGAGATCTGTCAAAAATTACTAAAACATAATCTCAGCCAACTTAGATCATGTACTTTCAAAACCAGCTTGTCTAACCAGCCCTGGGATCCCTAGGTGGCATACGCTTAGCTACTAAGATTGGCGGTTTGAACCTACGTAGAGTCGTCTCAGATGAAATGCCTGGTGATCTGTTTCTGGAATGAGTAAAGAAAGCTAAGCAAACCCTCTGATGAATTTCTACTCCATGACACACTTTGTCAGTCTCGGAATGCTTTGCTTATTTGCAACCTGGACATCTTTATGCAGCAGTGGGAAAGATAAAGTGAGGCCCTCTTTGTTTTCCCTCGAAATCCGTCTTTAGCACACATCTAGAGTTGTAGCTAACTATGTGTGAGAGATTTCCAGTTCCACCTGGTGTATTCTCAACTCTGACTCATGACGTGTGTCAGAGTAGAACTGTGTTCCATGGGGTTTTTCAATGACTGATTTTTTAAAGGAAATTACCAGGCCATTCTTCTGAGGTGCTTTGAGGTAGACTCGAACCTCCAACCTTTGGGTGAGCAGCATGAACCATTTATACCACCCAGGGACTCCATAGGAGTTATTTTGTTAAAATATGTGTTTTGAAATCATGAGCAGTTCAGTCAGAAGATCTAATAAACACTATAATGATCAGCCATATGCCACTGCCTAGTTTACAAAGTAAAACATTACCAATAAGATAAGAGACGACCCTTCTCTGCTCCCTCCCCTCCCACCCCCCTCAAAAAACCATGTTGATGGATCTCTTGTTTATCTTTCCTGTGCCTATTTAAATAGTGGCGGTGGCCATGGCAGTGGCTACTGCTTTTAAAAAAGGCCAATCTATGTGTCATTCTCCATCTGACCTTTATTTTATTTCAATATTTGAATAGTAGTTTAATTATCATGATGCTCAGAGCTTCTGTATCTCATTAGGTTAATCTTCTTGCATCTTGCTTCTTCCCACCCACTTTTAGACCAATTTTGTCTCAGATGATGTATTTATACACACACACACACACTTACACACACATATACTTCACTTTGCAGTTCAAGTATATGTGTGTATACATCTATATATTTAATGCTTCTTTAGAAGCAGCCAGGGATCATTTCCTTGGGTCTGTCAGAGCCTGGGCCTATGAGGGTGCTGAAATGTGACCTATGACTGTATGCTTAGGGGGTTCCTCAAGGATTCGGTCCGAGAACATCACAGAGCCCACAGGTGCTGCTCACTAGGGGCCTGAAGAGCAATGCAAAAGTGTGGGTACTGGAACAGAGAGAGGAGATTTTGAATTTGACATGTGCCATCCTCATTTTATCTTTCCTGGCCAGCTGGCAAACTTTGCTAGTGACACTTTGACTTGTTTTGGAGCAGGTTATGTTTGATACAACCAAGCACTTCAGTGAAGGAGCTATAAGGAGACGGAACCAGGAGAGGCTGAAATTACAAGAACTGGAGGAAGAAAGGAAAAGAGAAAAGAAGCGAGAAGAGGAAGAAGCGGAAAGGTAAAGAGATCAACTTTGATGGAGAAAAGTTTTTATTTTGTTTTCCTGGGGGTTTTTTTGGCTCCCCCCACCCACCCTTTGCTTTTTCCTTTTAGTGTTTGACTTATCCCTTTGAGTGAATGGCTGCACTTGATGGACAACATCGAGGGGGTGGCAAGAATTGGTCCAGATTGGAAAACTCCACTGACAGCTACCGTGTTTGAACTGAGTTGTTATAAAACCAAAAATGACCAAAGAGTTGAAAGCAGCAGACTTCAGAAACATAACAAAATAAGAAATAGCTTATTGGCTGGTGGAACAAATAATGAGGAATAATGGGACTAGATGGAAAATATCTGGGAAGAAATAATAAAAAAGCCAAGACCTTGTATGGTGGAGATCCTAGCCTCTGGCACATTAAAAACAAAACAAAAGCAAAACCAAAACCAATTAGATCTAAAAACGTATTTCATTCCATCAATGGTCAGTGATCAAACCACCCCATGGACAAGAAAGCACAGGTTTATTGGGACCATTTTTGGTTGGGGTCCAAGTTCTTCTTGTGAATGCAAGCAGCCTCTATCTTTATTTCTAGAGTTATCATTATTTCCTGTTTAGACTTTACTACTGGATTGTCAACGAATTGCCAAAAGATAAGATACACATGATCTAGAGTTCTGAAAACCAGTTTAACCTCCTGGCTCCATGTCTATCTGCCTAGTGTTCCATGTATATTGGAGTTATTCCAGAGAACCCTGCCTTAGGTCCCTTGTTTTGGGGGGCTGATGGTAGTGACAGGAATTACTTCAGTTATGTCTGTGAAACCTAGATTTTGAGTCGAGTCAAGGTAACTTACCCCTCCAATTCTAGTCTAATATACAGTTTCTATTACCCCCTCCTCAAATGCTAGGCTGAAGATGCAGGGTCTAACCTCCCCAACCCCCAAATATTCTAGGCTGAACACGGTGCTTTCTATCCCCTGCTAAATTTTACTAGACTGATCATGGCAGATTCTCTTACTCCACAAATTCTAGCTAGACTGCACATGCAGTTGAGATCAACCTCCAGCTTTGGGCTAAAGTCCTAACTCAGCTAATTTGCCCTTCTTCTCTCCCCATGTTCTCCTAAGGGCTTAAGCACAGTTGCTTGAGCGTGTTCAGAGAACAGCAGTAAGAACAACAACCAACCAACCCCGATTCTTTTAGGCCAGTATGATTTTATGGCAGTGTGCCATGTTAGGTAAGATGTGCCAAGAGCCAGCTCTCGCCCTCACTTTTTAAGAGGACTTTGACTTCTCTTTATTTTCCTCTTTGCAAGCTACCCACCAAAGGTTTTGATATCAAAAAAGGAAAGAAGGGGGACTTTGAAAGCTAGATAGAATGGTTCCTGATTGTGGTTTGAGAAAGGGGAGGTTAGAGACCCCTTCCTTTAAAGTCTGTCACTGCTGCATTTTGATGCCTATTTCTGAGGGAGACCAGGGTTCAATGCCCAGCCGATGCACCTCACCTATCGGTCCATGGAGTCTTGTGTGTGTGTTTCTGTAAAGTAAAACAGGTTTCAGTGAAGCTTAAAAGAGGAAGACAGACTAGGAAGAAAGGCTCTGTGTCCTATATATGAAGCATGGACCCATGGATGGGGCACGACAGTTTAAACAACATCTGATCATGAGAATGGCATGAGGCTCGAGAGTGTCTCCTGCTGTCGTACGTGGGGTTGCCAGGAGCCGGGGGCAGACTTGGTGGCAGCTAACAGCAGCAACACATCTGCTTCTATTTGCCAAACTCAGATCGTGTGCTTTTCCCCCCTGACAGATGCAAAGGGTCTGCTGATAAATTGCTTTGCCTTTTCCTTAAACAGACAACAGCAAAATCATAAGTTGTCTCTGCCAGGCCCAGGGGCTGACAGGAGAGTCCATTCCTGGCAGCGGGGTGGGGCGGGGCGGGGAAGGAAGGGGTAGAGGTGAAGTGCCTAATGAATATCATTTGAGTGGTTTCACCATCATCTTTCTCCAGAAAAAGAAAAGATGAGGAGAGGAGGCGGAAGACCAGGGTCAGGAGGCGAGGTTTGAAGGAAAGAGACAGACATCGGAGAAAGAGACACAAGGACAAAGTCAAAACTGAGGTGCCTCAACAACCTGACTCTTTGGAGGAATGGATAGAAAGGAAGTACCTGTTGGCTCAGAGGCGTGTGGAAGCCCTTCGTTTGTTACGCATGCTCCTGAGGAAAATTGCAGTAAGGCTATTTCCCAGTGGTTCTGAAGTTTGGGGAGGTAGCTATGAACTGTATCTGAGGAGTGTATGGATGGTACATGTGGTTAATATAGTCAGCTATGGACTGTATCTGAGGAGTGTACAGATGGTACACAGGCTAATATAGTCAGCTATGAACTGTATCTGAGGAGTATACGGATGGTACACAGGCTTAATACAGTCAGCTATTAATGTGACCTGAGGGACCTTGCCAGAAAGACTTCTGAGACAGTCAGCCATGGAAAACCCTATGCTGTTTAGTTCTCCTCCAACACACGAGAGGTTGCCAGGTGTCAGAGGTGACCTTTCATTTCATCAATGGCCTGTTTAAAATAGGGCTGTAGAAACCCACCCCACCCCACTACTCTGCTGTCAGGTCTGTTCTGATTTATAGTGATCTGATTCCCACTCAGTGAAAACCTGTTATCTTCACAGAATCCTTTAATATAGGCTAATATCTTATAACTCCAATTGTGGTTTTATAAACCATACCAAACCAAACTCTCTGCCTTCGAGTCGATGCTGACTCATAGCAACCCTGGAGAATAGGGTATAACTGCCCTGTGGGTTTCCAAGACTGTTAACTCTTTAAGTGAGTAGAAAGTCTCATTTTTTTCTCTCTTGGAGCCACTGATGGTTTTGAACTACTGACCTTGTGGTTAGCAGCCCAACATGTAACCACTATGTCACCAGGGCTCCTAGACTTCTGAGAGGGCTGTCCAAATTCTCTAAAGCAGTGGTTCTCATCCTATGGGTCGCGGCCCCTTGGGGGGCCACACGACCCTTTCACAGGGGTCGCCCAATTTGTAACAGTAGCAAAATTAGAATTATGAAGTAGCAACGACAATAATGTTATGGTTGGGGGTCACCATGATATTAGGAACTGTATTTAAGGGTCGTGGCATTAGGAAAGTTGAGAACCACTGCTCTAAAGGGAGACCTGTCTCCCCGCTGCCACCACCCTCTCCCACATGCTGGGTTTCTAAACTTCTGGATGTGGGCATGCAGAGCTTGCTTTAGCTCTTTTCTCTGTCTTTCATCAGTGCCACAGAAAATACCAGGGGGGAGAGATGGATAGTGCGAGTGTTCAGTTTGTAGTGCTGTCACCTTCCCGGTCCCCTCATCTGTAGCAGGTGTGGATAAGAAGGGAGAACAGGGAGCAGATACCTTTGTGTAATAGCTCATGTTGGTCTAGTCGGAAACTATTTGATCAGGAATTTCTCACATTACAGAGCGATTGTTTGGTTTGGCGAGTTTCATTTTTGAAAGGTATCCTTTCCACTGAGTGTGCTCCTTAAGATAGCCAGATGCTGTAGATGCCCCAGATCAGATGGCAGAGAGGCTCCCAGTATGTTCAGTTAGAATCTTTGTTCATATACATGGAGGGAATGCCATTAGGATCCTGCCCAATACATGGATAGGCATTAGTACCACATGAGGGACTTCCACAATGTTCTTGGAGAAAACACTGGAATTCAAAGGTGTAGACTTCTCCCCACAAACTTTTTTCAGCCCCCTCGTAGGTTGAGTCAACAAACTACCTAGAGTTTATGGACTTTTATGTAGATAAGCTGTCTGGTCCTTAATGTGGACAAGTATACCACATTAATCACTCAGCAGTGTGGCCAGTCAAACTTAGTGGGATCAGGATCAGAAAAATCGCACGATTACAACTTGACCACGGCCAACTGGTTTTTCTAAGGAGCCCTGGTGATACTGTACTGAGTAAGCATTGAACTGCTAACCACAAGGTCAATGGTTCTAACCCACCAGCTGCTATCTGCTCTCATAAAGATTTACAGCCTCCGAAACTGTATTCAGGGTCACTGTGACTCACTGGGATGGGTTTAGCTAAATCTTTGATTGTTAACCTTTGTGACTGCCATGGGTGACCCCTCTAAGAATTTGTCTCTTTCAATGTATGCAGGTGCCTAATTCTTGGCACTGGGAACATCTTATACTTATTACCCAGTCAGCGAGTTCTAATCCCAGGTAATTGGTAAACACTCTGCCCTGATTTGGGTCAGTTGTCAGGGTGAGGCCCATGGGCGGCACCTTTCACCTGCTCAGATGGACTTACTGCCATGCTTCTTACAGAGATGGGGGAGGCAGGGATGAAAAGATTAAAACTCTGAGATGCCTCGTCTCCATCCCACAGTGAGAAGCTGGGGGCAAAACCCGAAAGACTTTTAAGCCAGATGAGCTTTTTAGCCAACCCCATCAAATAGAGGGCACATTTCTTCCATCTTGTTGAAGCATTTTCTGGGAGTGCTAGAGATCATTGCTTAAGTCTCTTCATATGCTCAGCTCCTCAAACAATACCTGGAACAGTTAGCTCTCCTGAATGTTTGAACCAATGGAGAAGAAACAACAACCCAAAACATGGTGTCGGGAGCTTTGAGAAGCATGTAAAAGTGTGGTACCTTCTAGCATTAGGATGGACACAGGCATTGTAAAAGCAGCCCCTATTAGATGGAGACATCGAATGTTGTGTCCCCCATTTCCTCAGCTCAATATTGTTCCTAATTTAGGTCAGCTTCAGGTGTTATTAGACATCTCTTGAGAACAATGTCAGAGAGTTCAATTTTCTTGGGGAAAAAAACTTCATGTGTTTAGTTTTTCATATAAGATTTTTTAAACCTTTTTTTCCTTCTTTTTTTTCTTTAAAGGGATCCACCTCATTTAACCCAGAGATGGCAGCCATGGCAGGCCCTGAAGCCAAGAAAGATCGTGCTTCAGGGGACACATTGGCAACTCTGAAGGGAGAAGAGTTAAACCCTCAGTATCGACCATATCAAGAGGAAAGGCCCAAATATCAGCTTGCCAAGTCAGACACTCAGCGAAAACACAAAACGAAGAAAAGAACGGGGACTCACTTACGTAAATCTTCCCACCACCTTAGGAAGAGAACATCAAGGCATTCAGCTAGAAAAGAGAGAGCCAGAAAATTACTAAGTGATGAATACGATCATAGCTTAATCTCTGACCAGAATCCTTTGCAGATGTCCAAAATTCAAGATCAGTCCTTCAAGAAAGATGATTGCCAGAGCCCTGCGGAATTCTATGCTTCTGAATATTGTGAGAGAGACTGTGGCAGAAGACAGATTTATGAAACAGATGGATTTATCAACTATCTCTTAAACTATTATCACACTCCAAAATATGCCCGTGACTTTCTGGAACCCCATCACTTAACAAGCACATACCAGTGGCAGAGGACTGTCCAGCCCAAGGAAAATGGGTTTCAGATCAATTTGACAAAATGCAGCCATTTCGTAACCAGTTTGAGCCCAATACCAAACCTGGAAGATACTCCAGAAGATGATTATTGGAAAAGAATTTGTACTCCAGTTCCTGACCATAAACCACAAGCAGGAGAAACCATGAACTATGCCAAAGAATGTTCCAAGGGCTTTAAAAAGCATCTCAAAGATTCAGCCAGTGAGTCTGATGATCAGCTTTCCCTGACTGATAGACAGAGCCCTCTTTGCGAAGAGACTTATGAGGACCCAACATCAGCAGACCTCGACTTGGAATGGAAAGATGCCTTAGAGGAAATTAGTAGTGATTCCGAATGTTTCCATGAAACCCTTAGCTGCGCAAGCAGAGAGGAACAAGAGAATTCTGTGGCTGCATGTTCTAGCTCTCCAGAAAAAGAGCCCTTTGATTCTGACGAAACCACAACTTGTGATCAAGAAACTAGATCAGGTCAGGAGAACTTGCATTCAAAATATAAGCAGGATGGTGAGAAAAAACACTCTCAAGACAAGCTTAGGAAACCAAGCAAGAGGTTTCAGTATGAACTGAGGTGTTCACGGCTTGAGGGCGAAGAAGATGCCATTAAAAATGATAGAAGCTACAGCAAAAAGAGGGAGAAGCTGGGTCCCAAACACTTGTCTGATACAGGTTACTATCATAAGACCAGTTCCACTGACTTACTAGAGGATGTTGCAAGAAAGAGGAGGAGGCTTAATGGTACCACATTCAACCAGCCCCTGAACTTTAGACCCTCTCATGTGCCAATAGCATCGTCACAAAGTTCTTTCCATTTGAGAGAGTTTTCCCCCAGAAGAGAGCCTCCTTGGGAGTCAAAATACAACCAGAGTGAAAGAAGGCTTCAAAGGTATGAAAATTCTGACAATTTCATGCTGAATTCTGATGATTATTATATTAGACATAACTATCAGGAAGACAGTGGCTATGGACGCTATTTAGGAAACAACTCCCCCAGTTCTTTATATTTTCAAATGTTTTGATGGTCACTTGGACCAAGAACACTCTTCTTCACAGTAAACAATTTGCAAGAAGACCATTTTAAAACCAGATATAGCTATCTAGCTTGCAACTACAACACAAACGAGACACATTTAAAAGCTTGAGCAAGGTTAAATGCCATGCCTTGTCTCAAAATGACCTTAGTGCATTGGCAAGCATTGGAAATACAAAACAGCTAGATGCTCAAGGTTGGTAAAGCCATGTGATTGCCAAACTTCTTGATCCAAGGACAGACATTTACACAGTTCAAGTGCAACTTTAATTTTGTGCCAGCCAAGGAGCAAGGGAACTCTGAGAGAGGTTGAGGCAGCCGCCTGTCTCCTTAGCTGCCATGACCTCATCATTTTGTCTACTGAGCCAAACAAATAAGGAACTTTTTCTAGATTCTTTGATCTGGTCAGAGACACCGTGAGCAGCAACCAACTTTCCTAACATGTTGATCTACAAACATTTTAGAGAAGAGAGATGGTAATTAGAACATAATGATAGACTTCCTTATAACATTAGAATGTTTCATGAGGATCCACCAGAAGGAAATTATTTTAGTAATACAAGTGGATTTCAAAAAGTTCATGGAGGAAAAAATAGGACGAAAAGATCAAAATACAAGCTGTGTTTCTAAACATGAGCGCCATCAAGATTGGGACATTTATTTAGTCCACCCCTAAAGAACTGAGCATCCTGGAAATTTAATTTAATCTCAATGCAGTCTTTTTTTTTTTTTTTACATAATTAACTGCAGAATCTGGGTGCCCTTTACAGATGTTTTTCTGTCTTTTAAGATTAGGAAACAAAAATCAAGAAGACCCCAACCAGAACAGTAAGGTGGATGCCTAATGATCTCCCATCGAAACTCTTGCAAAATGGCCCTTATTTAATGAGAGGAATGAGCACGGTGGTGGTGGTGGTGGTGGTGGTGGTGGTGGTGGTGGTGACGGATCGCAGATGAAGCTTCTCTGGGCACTTGCTGCTCAAACTGAGGCCGCCTTTCTCAAGACATTCTCATCAGACGCAGATGTTATTACTCTTTGACCTTCCCCCAGAAAAACCACAAGAAAAATGCCTTGAACGGCCCTCAAAACTGTTAACACGAACGGGTCCATTTTTGCTTTGACTGGACCACTTTTATCTATCGGTAGTCATTGCTTTGGTTGTGCTTTGTGTTCAGGATCATACCGATAAACCCATGTTTCATCTCCTGTTCCAGTTATTTAAAGAAATGCTATAGCATCTTGATCCCACCTGTTTAAATTTGCCATAGAAAACTCCGGTCTTATCTGCAATTTGGGCATTCATCGAGCAGCAAGTGTGCTCGATTTCCAGTTATCAATCTTAAGTATGTGTAAGCTGAACCAACTGAGATTTCTTTCTTTTTAAAAAAAATCATTTGATTGGGAGCGCTAACTGAGATGTCGATGCTGTTGGCTATTGTTTCTGTTGTTAATTGTGGGCCCTCTTTAATGAGGGCATGGACGAGATGAATTGTTTCCTTGACAAGGGAGGGTGATGGTCTGCCACTACATGCTTCCTCTTCATCACCATCGCTTGCCTTCATAAGCTGAGTTACTCATGGGTACACTGCTGATTTCTTGGGGGCCGTTGTCCCCATAAACTTTCATAAAGCATCATCGAGCTCATCATCCTTCTACCTTGTTTCACCAGAAATGTGAGCTTTGTTCTTGCTTTAGTTGTAGCAGAATGTATGTTGCTTGGACAGGGGCTCTTTTCGAACCCATGTCTTTTCCTTCTTAGTGCCTCAAAGTCGATCCTGTTCAGGCATGTTGTGACTAGTTACTAAAACTTTATTTTGGTGTCGAAACATTGACATCCATACAGGTTTTTTTTAAATACACATTTTCCATGAACTTTTTTTTTTTCTTTTCCCATGAACTTTTTGAAGACTCCTCGCATGCTTATATTACTCAAAGTGTTGTCCTTTGGGAGAGGAAGTATTGGAAGAAGACTCTATCAAAGAAGATCAGATGTTCTTTGAGGCCTAAGCATATCATTAGCAGAGTTGATTTTTCTGGTGAAGAACCCCATGCCTGTCCATCCTAGCAAAGCAACCGGATTGAAGTGACTTAACCAGTGGGATTTGCAAAAGGAAAGTTGGAAAGATTCTGGAGCACCATTAAGGGCACTTGGGAAGAGAGGATCTGATAGTATTCCATTTCACGTTATGTAATCCTTTCACTCAGGGTTGGGTGACATCAGTTGGTAAAGAGTCACTGAGTACCCCCCAAGTTGACTTTTTAACAAGTGCCTCTTTAATCCCCCAGAATGCCATGGGGTTAGAGTGAGTCAAGTGCAAAGCTTATAGTTTTCTAGCTGGGGAAAACGTAATGCGTGCAGGATTTGTAAGCTCTTAACATAAGCAATTTCTCTTTCTACCTGCTGGTTTTGGACTTCTTACATATGTTTTTAAATGGAGATATTTTATAGATTCTTAAAGACTTACACATTAGTGCAGTACATGTTCTCTAGAAAGTTTGGCTGATTCATTCTGCCTTACACAGGACTTAGGACCTCAGGGTCAGTAAATGACTTCTTCCCCCCTGCCCTACCCCACCCCAACCTTTTAACAAAACTCTCTAACATCTGACCTGCCAATTGAAGACACATCGCTGAGATTAGAGCCTGTCTGAAACAGAAAAAAGGGGGTGACTTTAACCCACAGAAGGTAGCAGTAAGTACGATTTACTCTGATGTGATTCATTTTAGTCTTCATTTGATATTATGTAGAAAAGTCCCAGCTGATAGAGCCGAGTAGTATGCCAATCAGTCTCATAACTAGCCTCCTGTGTGACCTGGAATCTGAAGAGGCTACAAAATCTCATTTATTGAAAGAGTCACATGTTTCATCTCTTCTGATCACATTTCAATACCTGCACAAGTTTGGAAATGTGTGTAACATAGGAGACTGTGTTCATAATGTAGTGGCCACTGAATGGCTCTCTTGTGTTCCCTTCGACTTTCAAGCCAGAGACTCTGCCATTGAAACCAGATTTGGTTGGTCAAATCTGAACACTCGCTCATGGCGTGAGTGCCTTTTCTTTTCTCAAGACTAGCAATGACTATTCATGTTCAAAGTACTGTTCTCCAGAGTAGCCTTTTACACTACTAACAGCTTGTATTCGGTCAGAAAACTTTTGATAACTAGGTATTATTCTCCTCCAGTGATAGCCTGCCCCCCCTTATAGTCTCTCTCTCTCCTATTTCATGCCACCAAACAAAGACCACTATGGGTTTGTAATGGAAAGCAGTTAGGCTGGCCTTGATGAAATAAATCTCAATGTTGCTTATAATTTGATTTTATTTCCTTTGCAGAGTTTATAGGCATGAAGACAATTTGCTGCTCAGTAACCATACGTATAAAAATAAATAAATGCAGAATTTAGCATGAGCCCTTTTTTTTGGGTATAATAGAATTGGTGCTAAGTCACTTCTGTAGAACATTTTGTTTTGTTTGTTTGATACTGTCTTAGGACCCAGAAGAAAGTAAGAATACTGGTTTGATGTTTACTTGGTTACAACCTTGGGGGTTGGTATCTGTTTCTTGGCTAATGCATTCAAGCTGTGAGGAAACCTCATTTGGCATAGGCCTCAAGTAAGGAAGAGAATGTTTCCTGTACGTTTCCATCGACTGGCTCAAGAAGGAACAGAATCGCACTGAAGATCCTGCCACCACTTTCTATGACTATCTTCATTCTTCCTGTGCCGGTCCTTCAGTGGTGGAAATGGAATTTCTCGTCGTTGTCTTACTTTTGCTTCTCTGGGTTTTCTTTCTATGTCTTAATACAGGAAGCACCTGGACTTCACAGCTGGTCTTTTGACGTTTTCTCATGTTGTTCTTTACATGCATTGCTGTCAGTGTCTTCAGAAAGCTAAAACCCTGTCCATGTGTTTTTGTTCTATTTCTCAGGTAGTAAGTCACTGAACCTGGTACTTTTGAAAATAAGAACCAAATAAATGTATTTTTATTTGTTCAAAAATGGTTGGAAATGTTAACTTTTCAATAAATGCGGATAATTCCACTTTGGGGTAAAATGTTTCTACCTGTAGTATGCTGCTTTGCACTAATGTTGCTAATCCTTCTCATTTGCATTGGTAGAGAAAAGATACATATTTAATTTTCAGATATATTAAAAATAAAATTGTTATAGTGAACTTTGGGTCTCCGTTCATTGACTACAGGTAAACACAAACATTTTCTGTGGCAATACTGATGTCTAGTTTTAATAGGAAATTTCTTTGCAGTTTGTAGAAACGAACTCTTGCTCACAGAACTGAAGTTGTTTTTATTTTGGATAAATTGAAATAGTGGTCCTCCCATCAGCAAATGTTTAAGCAGCACTATTTAAAAAGTAGGAACTATCGACTTCATAAGGAGCCTTGGCGATGTAGTGGTTACTCTGCGGGCTGTGATCCGAAACTTAAGCAGATCAAAAGCACCAGCTGCTGCCTGGGAGAAACTCCCAGGGTCAGTTCTTACCCCGTCCTCTAGGGTTGCTATGAGCCAGATTGACTCAATGGCAGTGGCCTTTTGAGTTTATGGGCTCCACTGAATTGTGTCTCATCCCTTCAGCACCTGGGGAAATGTTAAAAATCATGCAACACTGAAAGTGCCAGAAGTATGGGCATGGGATGAAGAGTCTAGTCCAAGAATCTAGGGGCCTCGGGAGTCAGTCTTTGACGGTACAGGGGTTCAGACTGCATTTTCACTTGAAATTTATAGCAAACTGCCTCTAAGTATTATATCACAAGGGCAGATTTTACTTTCAGAGTAAAACCTGGCCACTTGAGAGCTGAAAGGGTTCTTGGGTTCCAAGAGCTCTTAACAGCTAGGAATGTATGGCTGTTTGTTCTGGATCTGTGATTGGCATAAACTCAGTGAAAGTTAAACTATGCAGAGCAGCTGTAAGTATGGAGACATATTCAAACACATGTACGCAAAATGCTGCTGATGAACTACAGATGTGAGGCCCAGCGACAAAATCTCTGGGGCAGGTTGAATGAAAGCAGGTGGGGAGCAAACAGCTCCTGAACACCCCCACTTGGTGGAGTGGATTTTACCGCCACTCCCTCTTCTCGAATGGCCCTTTTACGTAATATAGCTTAGGAATATGCTAACCAGTTTTGAGACGTGTTTAGATCAAATGCCTGGCTTTGAGTCATATCACTTTGCATGTATTCAACGCAGTGTTGCTTCAGCTCAGAATGGAGGATATCAGGCTATTTGGATTGGAGCTGTAATGAGGATCTAAAATCTAGATATTTCCTCTTGGCAACAGACAAGTCTATAAAAGGATAATCATGCTTGAATGAGATTTCAGGCCCAACCACTCTTCTCTACCCATTCCCCAAAGCATAAAGCTTACTAGGTTGTTTGGCACAAAATAGGAACTCGAGTATTTGTTGAATGAAACCTAGTGGGGAAGAAAGGTGCATTTTACCAAACAGGTGCGATATAGCTTTATGGCATGAAAAATGGAACACTGCAATCTTGCTTTCAAGCACATCTCTAAGAAAATGCTGCCAGTATCAACAGAAATGATAAAGACTGAGACTCGGAGTCACAGGCTGTTTATACAACTGACTATGCACATACATGTGATCGCCTCCTTTTGCTGCAGCAAGAATTAACTTTGCTAATATAGGGATTCCTGATTAGTGGTTACACATTGAGCTGTGACCCACAAGGTTAACAGTTCGAAACTGTCAGCGGCTCCTTGGGGCTTTCTACTCCTGTCACTCGTTACAATCTTGAAAACCCACAGGGGCAGTTAGACCCTGTGCTGTAGGGTCATTATGAGCCAGCAAAGACTAGATGACATTGAGTTTTCCTGATCAGACACTAAAACAAAATCTTGCCTTAGCACTTGATAACAATGCCGTTAGTATATTAACCCTTCAATAACCTTGCTTATTTGAACAAGGTTATTAAATCTTAGCCATTTATTATCTTAAACCTCAAGATAGTCATTAACCACTTACAGCTTAGAGAGTTTTGACTTGAGGCACAATTTGGCAAGCCATGAATCATTGAATAAGTTCCAAACAGGAGCCCTGGTGGCATGTGGGTTAGGCGTTGGGCTGCAAACCACAAGGCTAACAGTTCAAACCCACCAGCCACTCTGTGGAAGAAAGATGAGACTGTTCCTATACTCAGTCTTGGCAACCCTATATAGGGTTGCTATGAATCAGAATCTACTCAGTGGTACTTGGGTGTGGCAGGCAGTTCATGACAAGCTGGTGGTTTGTGGTGTGAAGTTTCTGATTGTGCTCCTTGTCTCTTCTGGAATAAAACAATCTGCATTCCAAAGTGAAACTCTCCTAAACTAGTGTGAAATAATTGGATCTGGTGCTTTACAAACAAGAAGAAAATAGCCTATCACACTCGACGGGGTAAAACCATTTTATTAACTGACCAAAGCACTTCATTTTATTTTCTGATTCGAGGTAAAACACAACTCACAAGAAAATACCATGACTGTTGAACTACAAGAGTTTGAAACCTCACTAGTTGTTCATATAATACTTTTGCAAATTTATACAACTGTACAGTCTACTTAAGCTAAGTTTAGTGTTCACCAAAAAAACCTACATCAAAGACTTAAGACACTTGGACTACGGCTTTTTGCAGTGGCTCTAGTTTTGTAACAACATAATGACTGTTATACCTCAGGAATAGACTTTTAAAAACCACTTGGCCAGTGTGATGCGTACTGCTTCCTCATTCTGTGGGGATGTGTATGAAGGTTCTCAGGAGAGCATACACCTGCTCCTCAGTACACCCTCCCCCTTACTTCAGATTGTGTAAATTAATGATTACTTCACCATGAACATGGGGGCTGGGCAGACAGTGCTAGCATCTTCATAAATTGAAGTCTGTAGGCAAACCAGCCTATTTTTCTATTTTCTTTCCCATTGTCAACTTTACTTTTGTCTGTTCAAGACCTCTTTTTCATACCAAGCCACTTAGAAAAAAATAAAAAAATTTTTTTGGTCAAGTGAGTCCAGTTTTGAGATTCCATTTTGTTACTGGACAGCTCTTTTGATTCCACACCAAATTCTTTGGAATACTGCAGATTTACTTTAGAGGTAGATAAACAGAAATCATGCAGTTCACTTGATTGAAAAAGAAAGTTCTTTAAAGAACATCATGACTGAAAATTGGTCCTTTGTTCTAGGTGGTTGAAGGACTTTGCATATCTAAGATTTTAACCTGTTTGGGGGGAATAGCAAAGTCTTAAACTGTCTGAAAAACAAACAAGCCCTGCCACACACGCAACCCTTTCCCCACCAAATTTAGATTCAGCCTGTACTAACTACAGCTGAAGAAGAAGCCCAGAATATTAACATTCTGGTGACAGCACTGTAGTTCCCTTTTTGATTTGTGACACCCACACATCTCATGCACATTCTAAGACAGAATTTCATTTTCTTCGTGCCACTAGTATGTTACAATTTAAAAATGTTTATAGCAAGTTCAAAACTTTTCTAAATATTGAAATCACAATGCTTTTAAGGACAGACTGAAAAGTTACAAATGATTTTTGCAAGATACAAAAATAGATATGCTTCCACAGAATGCCTTAATCGTTTTTCCGGTCTTTCTCATCTTTTGGTTCTTCTTCATCTGAATACACGGTTGGCTCCTCTCCCTCCTTCAGCAGTTTGCCCACGTGATGGTACTTGACTGGAGGTGGAGAGAAAAACAAAAACACAACCCACTGATAGTCATTCTCGTGCTTTCTAGAAAATGACAAGGAACTTCATTTGAAAGCATTTATTGGAGGCCTGGTGGATACACAGCAACGTATTAGGCTCTAGGAGGGTGCCAAGGGTGCTTTTATGACGCAGTCCTTGCCTTCCCAGGGTGAGCTTGTTCGGAAGACAGACTTTAAGGCAGGGAACCATGTCGGACAATAGGGCCGAGGTCATGTCCCAATGAATCATGCTTGTGTGTGTGAATGTTGAGAAGGGTAAGTGTTCCTTTCTGTTAGAAGCCCCTCAGAACACTCCGTGGCAAAAAGACAGGTAGCCAAGGCTGAACATGGCAGAAGGTGTAGGATTTGGGGAGGAAGCGATTTGCAGGAGGCGAAACACCATGTACAAAAGAATGTAGGTGAACACGAGCCAGCCCAGGAGAAAGAGCTGGTGTTTGCTTGTAGGAGGCGAAAGGTTGGCCAAGCAGTACGGGGAAGTGTATCCGAAAAGAAAGCTTGAGGAGTTTGGACTTCTTATCCTCTAGGTGGGCAAAGGGCATTGAGAAAAGGAGTGACACAATCAAACAGGGCTTTAGCAATCAAGGTATCACGGTGTAAAGGGGCAAATTCCAACTACGCGACCAGGATCAGGGTGTCCTGGAGGCTGGATCACAGGAGCCCAGGGGAGGGAGGGGCCCCTGGGAATGAGAAGGGAATGTTCCTGTATCAGACAGGAGCATCGCAAACTGAAGGGAATGAAATGCTCAGAAAGCTGGAGACCACACACAGAAATGGGGAGCCGCGAAGGGTTCCACTTGGGAGAGGGCACAAAGACAGGAGAAAGGAAGTCCGTGCTAGTACAGAGCAAGGCCCTAGGAGCCTCTGGGAAAGAATGTTCTGTGGAATTGCGGGGCTAGAAGATACATTGTTCAGGGCGCGGGGGGAAGATTTAGAGAAGAAATGAAGCTGCGATGAGGGACAACTTGCTAGAAGTTTGTCCGTTTGTCTGATAGTGAAGGCAAGGACGGGTAATAGTGATAACAGCCCAAGTGGGTAAAGAGGATAGCAGGAGACAGAAATTTCTGCTCCGCATGGAGACAAAAAAACAACCTTATGCATAGTTCAACGAAGTGGTAGACGGAGGGAGAAGAAGGTGAGAAATAGCAAGGGGGGAAAAAACGCCAAACAGATTGAAGTGTGCAATAGCACAGAGTGCTTTCCCCCACCTCCAAGCCCTGAGACTGGAGAGGGGCTGGAGGTAGCTGAGTACCACATCATGGCAGTCCAGTTAACACGGGGTTAAGCATCTCAATGCCAGGGGCCACGAGGACTCACTCAGCCTCCTCTTTCTGAGTCATGGCGGAATTAAGAGGAGCAACTAACCTGTCTAACCAGGTAACTTGAGCTGCTTTTGTGTGAAATAATCGTGGAGAACAATTGGCACCTCCCTATTTGAACATATTATGAAGGTCCCTAGCATTCTTGGGACTGTGTAAGACAAATAAGAGAAAAAGCCAAGTGGCGCCTGGGAAACCTGCCTTTAGGGGAATCTACACTAGCTCTGAGTGGAGCTGAGGTTCATAACAGTATCTGGGGCTAGTGAGAAATGAAAACCACACACACACACACACACACACACACACACACACACACACACACGCGCGCGCGCGCGCGCGCCTTTTTCCACACATGAATGAGGGCCAGCGCCAGAAAAGAGAACTGTGTAAATTATACATCACAACTTACTGGTTTCACATAGGAAATGCTTTGTTACAAGGGCATCCTTAGGGTGCAGAGAGAGCACAAAAGAGACAGACCGATAATGTTAGGTAGCTGGATTATGTTTTCAAAGGACAAGGACTTGCCTCTATTTGAAAGTGACATTTAGGCTGCTCCAGAGAGCCAGACTGTAAGGGCGGAGCCATGTCTGGCTAATGATTCACCCAGCTCTTTCCGAGGTCAGCAGTATTTTCAAAGAAGATGGGGTTGGATCTACCTAAAGCACCGATAATACCTGGTCATCAGCAAGTTGAAAACGCTATTTTAAAGGAGAGATCTTCAAAGAAATTGTCATTGTCTTTGGACACTGCCTCCTAAAAGCGGGGGAAGAGTATCGTTCTTCTTGGCAATAAAATATTGTTACAGTGCTAATCTTGGCTTGATAGAAGCCAAATTCCTGACTGCTCCAAAGTGGGACTTATCTCCCTGTTCTTACTCCTCCACCGAAGCCCTCAGAGTCCATCGCCTAAGCAATGATACAATTGTCTCCTTTTTCTTTCTTTTTAAATTGCAGCCATCACTGTTGCTGGGCAGATTTTAGGCCTCAGTTGTAGCTGAGGCCTATAGTTAGGCTGGAGTAGACTCAAAGAGAAGTTGTTCTCTAGAATACAAGTCTCCCATTCTTCCAGAGATGTGGGCTGCTTTTCAACAGCAAGGTCTCCAAGCGGGAACTTATGAAAATCCCTCTTTCTGTGGTCAAAATGGCCTCTTGTCCTTGCCCCTACACACCAGGCACCAAATACTCGTGTGGACTCTATGCAAGTCTCCAACATTGTAACTGCCAAGAACAGAGACCCATGTTTCCACGGAGTACTAGCTCAAAATTGGTATGCAATCATAGCCCGTGACTCAGCACTGCTGCAATGACTTCAAGCCATGAACTTGATCAGCCTAAGCTTCAAGAGCCTATCGCAATGTTCCCAGGTTTCAGGCTGCTTAGCAATAACTATTGTACTGCTATGCATCCCCATTATGGGCAGAAATTTGATCCCGGCACCATTTGGAAAATGCTTACAAGTGAATTGAGAGTCCCAGTCACTCAGGGTCTCCTGTTGGGCAGCAGTGAGGTCAGACAGGTCATCGTACTCGTCCTTCAGGGCTTCCTTGTCCAGGCAAAATGTGGCCAGGCCCCTGGATGCATCTCTTCCAGCAAAGACCCCGTATGGCCCGTCTTTAAAAAACAGAATCAAACAAAAAAAACCAAACATCGATTTTTGGTTAGACAGTGATTTTCCCCAGTGGTTTTTACCCGGAAAACAGCGTCCTTACCCATCCACACAGAATGTCTCCTCTGTGATGACCGAGTTCTGTTTGAAAATCGGAAGGCACATTGAAACCTTTGTCATTGTATAATGGACATTGAAAGACCCGCTGTCACTCACCTTCTAAATCACTCAATGGAAACCAATAGTCTATAAACATGTTGTGATCTCCAAATACACCCTAGTAGCCTGGGTTACAGACATCTGTCCACCTTGAACCAATTCCAACCAACCCCATATAGGCTATTATTTTCCAAATTTGAGGTAGATACAATGGTATGTAACACAAATACGCCCTACTTTGCAACATGGATCAAAACACTCTATCACTGTAATATTATGCTAAGGATGCTTTAGTGTATCTGGATCTGTTAAATGTCTTCTTTTTTAATGTATTGAAAAGTACACCATATATACTAAGACAAACCTTTGCTTAACTAGCCCTAGATATGTGTGGTATCTATGTACAAATTTGACATAAAGACAGACTTAGGCATGGGGCCTGTTGATAATCTGGGGACTATCTGTAGCTAATAAGAAAGTCATTAGCTGATTATCCCCTGAGGCTGGGGTGTACAGAATGAGACATGAAGATAAAACAATCTTAAAAAAAAAAACCCTCCAAACTCACTGTAATTGAGTCAATTCCAACTCAGCAACCCTGTAGGACAGGGTTGAACTCTCCCGGTGGGTTTCCAAAACTGTAACTCTTCATGAGTAGAAAGCCTCTTTCTTTCTCCCTTGGAGTGACTGGTGATTTCAAACCATTGATCTTGCGGTTAGCAGCCCACCGAATAACTACCGCACCACCAGGGCTCCTCTCACACTGAGTCTAGGGGTCAGAATTTGATGTGACGATATTGAACCTGATTCTCATCTAGGTGCTGGAGCCCTGCTAGCAGTGCAGCTTTTTTAAGGAATAAGCACGGATCGTCCATGAAGATAATTTTTTTTAAGTGTACTGACTTTAAAAAAAATTGAGTCAAAGGTATTTTACAGAGATTGTTGGCTTCAAGGCTTAATTAAACATTAACAGGCAGAGGCAAAATCACATTATAAGATTATCAGTGGTTCAGAAGCTGTCCCCATGTTGCATCACCTTCACTGTCAATAACCAGAGATGGCACAGCTGATCAGCACACTCACTCTCTTTTTCAGGTGGGCTTGAAGCTACCAGTGAGGCAACACTAAAGTGTTCATGCAGGGGGAGGGAACAAATCAATGTCCCCCCAATAATTCTATAAAATATTAGAATGCAACTATGTATGAGGGGAATTCCAAAAGTTCCTGGAAAGTTTCCAATTTGTTCCTCCCATGAACTTCTGAAGCGCCCTCGCATCTGGCACCGTTCCAGTGTGTTAGCATGCACATTCATTCTACAGGGGCTTCGCTTGGAGGTTTACAGCCTGTTGCCATGGAGCCGATTCTAAGTCACAGTGAGTGATCAGGGACAGAGTCAGACTGCTCCTGAGGAGCCCCAAGGCTGCCATCTGTGTGGATGCAGACTGTCTCCTCTGGTGATGCTTAGACGGACTCAACTATGGCACCAGAAAGCGACAAGAATCTGCTGTACTGTAAGCAATGTAGTCTTTCTCCAAAGAGATACTTAAGCCATCGCCCTGACCTGAAACATGAAAAGCTCATGAGTTAGCACTGTACCACCTGTGAGAATGGATGAAGTTTCAGTACGATCCACCCGGACTCTTTCCCCAATGAATGACTTTTATGGTTTCAAGATTCTGAAGAAAAATTGTTGTTTTCAGTCATTAAGGGCTACCACTTTAATGACCCCCCCCCCAAAAAAAACCCTCCAAACTCACTGCCACTAAGTCAATGCCCCCGTGGGTTTCCAAGTTTTCAAGCCTGTAACTCTTTATGAGAGTACGTAGACAGTCCCATCTTTCTCCCTTGGAGCAGCTGAGTCTTTGGAGAAAATCGCCTTCACCACAATGGAATGGAAGCTTCTTGAGTGGAGACTTGCATGTTTTGCTCCCTGCTGTCCGGCCAGCCTGAAGGGTTACAGCCTTGGAAACCCACAGGGCCAGTTGGAGCCAGTCCTATGGGTCCCTGTGCGTCGGAACGGGCTACATGGCGGTGCGTTGGAGGGATGCAGCCAGCACCTACCACACGGCCTGCCACAGAGTAGGAGGCAGTTGAATTAGTTACCTTTTAGGACTCTTTGGTAATGAGCCCCAGCTCTTTATGAAAAGAACCCTGGAGACGCAGGGGTTTATGGGTTGGAGGTTCCAATCCTGAAGAGAAAGAGGAGGCATCCCGCTCCTGAAAAGGTGTATAGTCTCAGCAACCCTAGGGGACAGCTATTCTGCCCTGTAGGGTCATGCTAAGATGGAATCAATGCAGGGGTGGTGGGTTAGGTTTGGTTGGTTGCAGCATGAACTCTCATTTCCACGATGCTGTCATACAAGGTAGCGTCCAAAAGTGCGTGGAGAAATGGAACAAAAAAAGATAATGGAATTTTCCACACACTTTTTGAAGCCCTCTTGTATACTTCACAATGGGCTCACTGGATATGTATAATGGAGACTGCGATTGTTTTTCAAAGGGAATGCCAAGGCCAGAAAAAGACAATGCGTTGTTCAAGGCCACACAGCTGGTCAGTAACTCCACCAGGCCTAAGACCAGAAAAGACTGTGCGACACTGAATCAGAATCTGCATCTTAACAGGATCCCCGGTGATCGACAGGAATCACCTGGTTAAATTGTAGATTCAGTAGAAGAGTCATCGGAAGGTGGACAGGCAAATTCTCAGCAGGGCGTGATGTCAAATCAGAAGGAAACGTGGGGGAGCCCTGAAGAGAAGATCTCAGGCTGCCTTGTGCTCAGGCCTCCAGGCCTCCCAGTGACTCTGCAAACCACAACCCCGATTGTGCCCCCCCCCCCCCTTGGGACTGCTTTAGAGCGTAGGCTCAGTCGTCAAAGGTATTTGCATAAGCCCCTAGGAGCACTACTTAGAGTGAGAAAATAATATCGGTGTGTCTTTCTGATTATTTTGACAGTCCCACGCCACAGGGCAGAAGCATTCTAAATTATCCACAAGGAAAAGGTAAGTGAAGGGTGGCGGAGAACCTAAGCGCATCTGCTTCTCAGGAGTTGGAGGGCATGGGGCGGGGCTTCTCATTCCTCTTTGCAGGTCCGTGGGAGGAGAGCAGGGGCACTGTGGCCCTACTCCCAGTGGTTTTGAGAGCGACTCCCTCCTCCTTTTCTCTAGACAGTCTATAACCCAGGCCTTTCCAAACTCGGCTGCTTCTCAAATTGGCCTGGGAGAGCCTGGAAAAATGCAGCTTGTTAGCCCCCTGCCCACAGAGACTAAGGGACCGATATTTTTCTTCAAAGGTTTTCAGTTGAATTCGGACGGCCGCTCAAACCCAGACCCAAACTCCCTGCCATCAAGTTGATGCTGACTCAGCGAGTCTACGGGCGAGGTTACAACTGCCCCCGTGGTTTCCGTGAGTAGAAAGGCCCGTCTTTCTCCCCAAGAGTGGCTGGTGGTTTCGAATAGCTGACCTTGCAATTAGCAGCCCAAGGTGGAACCGCTAAGCCACCCAGGCTAGAAAACCCTCCTCTCCAGGGAACCTCCCAAGGCAACCTGGTAGGTAGGGTAGGGTAGGTACGGTAGTCGGCTATTCTTTGGGCTGTGAACTGCAGGCTCGGCAGTTTAAAGGGATGAGACTGCTTCTGTTCAAGAGTTAGTCTTCGAAACCGGCTGGGCACAGTTCTCCCCTGGCCTACAGGGTGGGCCCGAGTTGGAATCGATGGCAGGCAGGAGCTGGATTTGGTTTGGGACCGAACCCTCCAACAGCCCGCAGTCACCCCTCCCTCATTTCCTCTTGGGTGGACGTCAGAAATCCCCTAACCCAGAAGCCTGCCAGGCCCGACCCCTTTGTGTTTCTCAGAATCCTCTGACTTCTCTTTTCTCCCTCCATGAAATAATAATAATAATTGGGGTGGCATGGGAGGGGGGGCTTTTCGTCCTTCCGTTTCAGCTTCAGAGAAAACAATGTTAGTGCCTTAGCATCGAGTCATGCGTACCCCCATTGTCCACCACATGCATTCTTTCTCCCTCCCCCAAAGGAGTCGCCCTTATCCACTCCCTTGCTTTCCGATGCGCCACACAAACCGTGCGGGTGTGCGCACACCTCCCAAACACATACCCGACACATGTCACACTGCATTTGCGCGCCCGCACACACCTGATACACTACGTGCACACATGGAGCCCCACCATGCACAATGCTGCTACCTGCTGCTTGATCCCACCCCCTCTCTCCTCCCACCCCCTTACGTTCCACCATGGTTACTCTTGGCACCATTGGCCTTCATGTAGTCTCCAAGCCTGGACTTCCCTCCGCCGCTCAACCCCCTCCCTACGCTCCCTGGAGTCCAAAGCCACTAGCCTTACCAGGAACCCCTAAACCTGATACCGCCGCCCCCCCCTCCCCAATCTCCAAGTCCCACCCACCCCGGCTTCCTGCGCCTTGGCAGGCTTCCCTGTTCGGTTCTCAGCCCCAGTGGCGGGGGTCCTGGATCTGCGCCCCCCAGCCCAGGCTTCCAGCCCTCCCTGAGCGCTGCGGGAACTGCCTTGCCAGGAATGTCCCGCTCCAAGTCCCTGGAGGGGGGGTCCTGCTCCCCGCTCGCCTCCCTGGAGCCCAGCCCCGAGCTGCCACCCTTTTCTTTTGTCTCCGTGTCCCCATCGCTGGCCGCCTTACCAGGCCCGTAGAACTTGCGGCCCTTGGTCACATCGAACACCTTGCCGTTGATGGCCATGAGGATGCGTGGGTCCTGGACGCCGTCGAAGCGCCGCAGCTCGGTCGGGGTGAAGTCGCGCCGCTTGAGGCGGGGCAGCGGGGGAGGCTCGTCGTCGTCGCTGCCGCCCGCCGGCTGGTCCCCGCGCACGATCTTGTAGAGCAGGAAGATGCAGAGGCCGAGCAGCAGCAGGTTGAGCGGCGAGGTGAAGATCTCGTGCAGCAGCCCGCCGCTCTCCAGCTCGCCCGGCTCGGCGCCCATCGCCGCCACCTCCTCGGCAGCCATGATCTCCGGAGCAAAGGTTGGGTTGGGCTGAGGCAGGGCTTCGGAACTGGCCGCTTCCTCCTCCCTCTCCACCAGCGAGTGGCGCCTGGAGCTCGGGCGCACGACGTCCAGTCGGCGGAGGAGGCGGGGCCCATCAGACCACGCCCCTGTCCAGGCTCCGTGTGCCCCCCCTCCCCCGCACCGGCCAGGCGGCTCTGCCGGGGGCCCCCCACGTTGCCGCGGTCTGGGCCCTCGGCGGTCTCTGCACGGAGGACCACAGCCCACCCGTCCCTTCCTCCTGCCTCAGGCAGAGCCATCTTCGCGCTGTCCCCGCGGCAGCTGCGAGCTCCGCCCTCCCGGTGTCCCAGGCCCCCCCCTCGCCGCGGCTCCTGGCGGGCGGACCCGCGCGCTCAGGCGGAGAGGCCTCCCTTCCCCCACCTGCTGCGCGCCAGCCCCGGGGCTTCAGACTCCGCCTCCCCACCCGCCCGCAAGCCCCTCTCCTTTCCTTCCCTGGTCACCCCCTCCCCCCTGCCCCCGGGGACCACGAGGCCTCCTTAGGTGGCTACAAACTCCGACTCAAGGCGTTTTTTCTCCACCTTAGAGACTCCCGTGTTCAGCTTGGGGGACCCTCATTCGCTCTCCTATGTCCCTCAATCACACCCCCACCTCTCCGATGCTGTGGGGGCTGATAAGCTTGGGCCACGGAAAAGTGCCCAGGCTGGTCTGACAACTCTCCCCATCTCTGGGGGGAAGGATAGGATCACCGGTTTACTTTGGGCTAGTCGTCAGAAAAACGACACCCTTTGCAATCTCTGATCTGCTCAGTCACAAGGCAGCAGCCCGGTCTCTCGTTGCGCATGTTCTTTGTCTTTGGGCCGGAATGATGGCCCAAGTGTCTTTGCTGGGCACTGCTCTGCTCTGTGAAGCCTGGCGAGCCCCATTGGGCAGTGACAGGAACGCTGAGCTGGGGCTCCAAGGAAGGCGGGCTTTTGGTCCCCTGGCTAGCAGGCCTTCCCGGAGGAAGGAAAGAAGGGTTGTCCCTGTCCTCCAGAGTCCCACTCTGGCTGCGCTCTTCATTGTGGAAGGGGGAGGGGAATGGAAGAAAGGGTAGAGAGAGGGGGAAATAATTAAAACCAAGCCATGCACACATCTGCTGCCCAGAGCCGTACTTTTCCATCAAGAACTCTGTTCGCCTGCACAGAGTTGACTCCCTCCTTCCAAACATGAAGGACAACGGAGAGAGAAACTGGCTTTTCTTACCAGGGAATTCGGAAACCTGACTTGGCCAAACGTTTCTGCTACCAACTCTTTCCGTGCTCCATGCCTGCCCCCTCCCCGAGCTTTGTAAACCCTTTTAGAAAGTGCTTATGAGCAAAAACAATCCTTAAATAGGGCCCACATATTCCACCCACCTCCCCCTTCGCAGAGCTAAATTTAGGCTTCTTGGATCGTTTGTAAAACGTCTTTAATTTAATGATAAGGAATCAAGAGGGAGACTCAAACTGAACGTTTCTTGGTAGTTAAGATCTTTTCAAAGATGTATATGGCTGAGATGCTTTGAGAAAATAACAATTGTGGGAAATATTTTCATTGGCAAGTTATATGACAAAAGGATTTGTTTCCTTTAAGAAGTCTTTAAAAATAGTTTGTTTTTTTAATCATTTTATTAGGGACTCATACAACTCTTATCACAATCCATCACATCAATTGTGTAAAGCGCATTTGTACATTAAAAAAAGTTTTAATGACATATACTTCATGTAGCATACACTTCGATGGCTTTTAAATACATATTTTTAAAGTTGGACAATCATCACCACAATCAATTTTAAGAAATTTTCTTCATTCTTGTACCCATTATTATCAGCTCCAAATTCCCCCCAACCTCCTTTGCCTAAGGAACTATTCATCCAGTTACTTCAAGAGGTCTTTTGAATTGATAAGAACAATTTTAAAATTCTAATCAATAAAAATAGGCAAAAACAGGAGCAAGTAGGTCACCAATGCAGATTAGCGATGAATAATAAACCTATGAAAAATGTTCAGTATCACTAGTAATAGAGAAAAAATATCAAGACACTATGTCCACCTGTTAGAATACTAAACAATAAAACCAAACCACTGCCATCAGGTTGATTCTGACTCACAATGATCCTGTAGAACTGTTCCTTAGGGTTTCTGACTGCTCATGTCTGTGAGAATGCATCTGGTGGGCTGGAACCTCACACCTTATGGTGAGCACCCCACTGCTTAACCCACTGTGCTACCATGACTCCAAGAGAATAAGTAAGAAGAAAGAAAAGAAAGGTTGGCAAGAGGGCAATGAGATGCTCATATCTGAGTCTGGTTGGAGGGAGTAGAAATTGATGTAACGATTTGTTTTGGCCCTGCAGTTGCTAACTACAAGGTCAGTGGTTCCAATCCACCAGTTGCTCGGTGTGAGAAAGATGAGGCTCTATAGATTTACAGTCTCACAAATTCTAGATAGGGTCATTATGCATTGGAATGGATATGATGGCAGTGGGTGTGGGGCTTTTTTGTCCATAAGGAGCCCCAGTGGTGAAGTCGATTAAGGGTTGGTGTGTACCCATAAGGAGCCCTGGTGGTGCAATGGGTTAAGCATTGGGCTGCTAACTGAAAAGTCAGTGGCTCAAACCTATCAGCCTCCCCTATGGGGCAAAGAAGAGGTTGGCTACCGCCTACTCTGAGTGGAAATGGCCTTGAGCATCATGGGTTTGGTGTTGTGGTTTTGTTTTCTATCCCTGAATATTTTCTCCCCCTGATCTCTCTTTCTGTAATCTCCTCTTTGACCCCACAGTTCCTCATGTAGGAATCCATCTCATGATAACACTTAGAAAATACAATGATTTCTTATTTGGATTTTGGTCTTTATATTATTATTATTTTATCCTTGCCACCTTATTTTGATTATGTTTTTTATGGTTCCTGCTGAGTTTCCCAGTTTGTGAAGCACAGGAGGAGTGGATGCATAGGGATAGTACCTGATACAAGGGTTGATAGGGGATGCAAGGGTGGGTGGTGGGTGATAGGGAGGGAAAGGGGATTTCAGGAGTGGGAAGTGAAGGTGGGAGAGGGCAACTGACTATGACTGCACAACCCATTGTAAAGGTGATTTAACCAAGGGGAAGGGAGAAATTTCTAGAATTGATATGGTAATGATTGTACAATTCGCCTCGATATGGTTGAATGATTGAAAGATTGAATGGTATGATATGTAAATTATGTGCCAATAAAACTGTTATTAAAAAAAGAAAAGGAAGATACAATGATTTCATACTCAGATACTTGTCCGAGAATCATTTTTTCATATCGTAAACCTGGAAACTGTCTAACAGTTCAACTTTAAAAAATAGCAAACAAATTAATCTACTTTCATTGTACTAAAACTATAAAATGGCATATGGCATGGCCATCAAGATATAATGATGATGTGGGAAAATGCTTGGATTTTATTTTATTTTAAGAGAGAAAAGCAGGAAACAAAATTGTATACAGTCTGAACTCAACTATGTTAAAAACAAAAAACACACAAACAAAAAGCATAAAAGGAAGCCCAAAAGGAAATGTGCGACAGTGTGATTAGTGTCAGTTTCTTTATATGCCCATTTTCCAAAGAACACAGACCCATAATGCATGTTCCTGATAAACAACCTTTAAAGAAGCCCCGGTGGGCTAAGTGTTGGGCTGCTAACTGCAAGGTCGATAGTTCAAACCCACCAGCCTCTCTGAGAGCAAAAAGCTGTCAGCTCCCTGGCCAAGATGTACAGTTTTAGAGACCCTGGCTAGGAATCGCTCTGAGTCAGCATCACCTTGATGGCAGAGTGATACCAAAATGAAAAGGAGTGCTCCCTCGGACCCAACTGGATGTGCTCCACCCCCCCTTCATTTGCTCCTGTGTGCTCTGATCAGACATGTCCCTCTCCTGGAGCTGGAGCTTCAGTGCTGTCCTCTGAAGCAAATTCTCCTAGGGGGAGGGGCGAAAGCTGCCAATTTTATGGAAGCCGACTGTCACCTTTCTCTCTATCACTCTGTCTCTCTCTCAGCAATGGGTGGATTTGAACCTTGGATCTCTGGGTATCAGCTGAGCACTTAATCACCATGCCACCTGGGCTCCTTGTGAAAAGAACAGAAGATTTCATGAAGATGTCTTGAGGACCACGTTTCCAGCCCCAAGAAAGGCATCCCAGCGTAGACAGTGCTTAGCGCTGAGATTTTAAAAACACCCCCAAAGGGGGTCGTGCATTGTAGCCATCTTTACTGAGCTTCAAGTAGGCTCGGGTGGTGCAAGGGTTGAAGGGCTCAGGTATTCACGGAGAGGTCAACAATTTGAACCCACCAGCCGCTCCAAAGGAGATAAAACGTGACCATCTGTTTCTGTAAAGATTACACAGCCTTGGAAGCCCTATAGAGTTGCCATGAGTTGGAATTCAGTGGACAGCAGTGAGTTTGCTGATTTAGGGTGAGGGGCGGGGTGTTGAGCTTCTGTGTGGAGTGTTAGGGTGCAAAGTCTCTGCCTTTTAAGGAAGGAACTCATAATCTAGTGAGGGGAGACGGTAAAGAAGGTATAGATGCTGTGGTTGGGGTCTGTGCATGGAACAGGGAAGATAAGTAAAGGAGGGTGACCTACAGGAAGTGATATTTGACCTGAGTCTTAAAAAAGAAAAAAAAGGTTCAACAGGTGAATAAAGAAAGAGGTGAATCTTACCATAGTGAATGATGGGGGGAGTGCGGAGTGGAGATCCAAAGCCCATTAGTAGGCCACTGGAGATCCCCTTCAAGAAGGAGATCAGCCAGCCGGGGTGCGATGTAACAATGATGAGAAATACAACCTTCCTCTAG